ATAATGTTCAAAATGAGGCACAGGTGGATATGTTTCTTGAAGAACAATAATATTACTAAGAGCTGAATAAAAAATACAGCATTCATACTTTTTCTCAAATTCACTCATTCAAGGAAACCACCTGGATTACTATCCTGCTGGAAGTACATTAACTGTTTGATTGAAAGCTATTAAAAACAAAAGAAAATTCAAACCCAAATATTTTGAAAGCTGATAATCGCTATGGTTCCACTAAAAACAAACAACACAACCACAGCAACTTTTCATTCGAGAAATAAAAGGATTATTTTTTTTCCCTTAGCTGCACCAAATGAGAATATGCTAATCATCTTTTGTATAGGCCATGTGAGTGATTCAGTAAGTGAGGTCTCTGGTAGCAAAATGACTTTGGAAAGCAAAATGTGGCTATAATGTCTCACTGCCATCTCAAATTTTCCTCTTTAATTCTTCCTGATAATGATATTACTGGTGTTTGAAAGCATTGTCCATTTGCACTTGTCAAACATCTCTCATGTGGTTTCTTATACTTAAAAGCTTGTACAAGCGCTGAACGACAGGACTTAATACTTCTGTAATATATTACTTGATATAATTTTTTATGACAAATCTGGATTTTCTTGGCATCCAAGACCCTTCTGAATCTTTTCCATCCTCGTATCAGAAATAAATCAGAAATGTACTACTGGACACTTTCTCCTAAAATGAAACTGCAGGGTGATGATGGAAACAACTTTATTAATAGAAAGCAACTGCTGCTACATTTCTGCAGGACACCAATGCAGTTTGCATCTGTCATGAGCTGTAGTGGAGCAGGGGCTTTGGATACCTCCATTACCATGAGCTGTGGTGAGTGGTGGTCCCAGTTACTAAACTATCAGAGCTCAGGACCTGTGGACCAGTGTGGTAAACACAGGTCTGGTGCCTCCATTTGAAACGACAGTTGTAGCCAGGATTTCTGCATTACTGAGCTCACTATTGTTATATTTTTGTGCTCTTTCATGCAATCAAATCTTTTACTGTCTGGAATTCTTACTCCATGGCTAGAAATAGATTTACCTAAATATCAAAGGGTAAAAAAACTCATTAACTGAAATATTTTTAGTTGCTGTGATTTTTTGTCATTTGCAGCTGCAAAGAGCTTTATATTTCCTCTGATGTGCTTTCAGCAAAAACATGTTTACATGAACTATGACAACAGTATTATCAGAGTTTTGTAATAGTGGGCTCAATAGCTTCAGAGTGAGAGACACATTGAATCCTTTAAATGAGAAAGCAATTTACTCTATTCACTTTCTTCTGTTTGCTTGATAATGATGTACAAGCAGCTAATTGACATCAAAATGATGGAAATATATATCATTTAGAAATAATAGCAACAAAAAAAGACAAATAAGTGTTTGAAATTCAAATGATTCAATTCCTTTCAAGAATGGAAGGAATTCAGTGAAGTTTAGTGATATGAATGAACAATGGAAGATTGTCTCCATAACACACTGCAGTTCTCTTCACTGGATCCCACCTTACAGCTCTCAGCTATAGGAAGAACAAGGTTTTCCACTTCCATGGGTGGTGAAACAGCCTCAGTGCTAGGAAACTCTCCTTCCTAGCTCTGCCTGCTCAGCAGGCTTGTCTTCGCTGCTGTCAGTGCTTTTCATTGAGTCACAAACTGTGATGGGATAAGATGGTGCCAGTCTTTGGACACCTTGTGACTTTGGGCCTTCTGGAGTCCCATCTTCATTTGCAGTTGAAATGTCCTGCTTTTCTTCCTGGGAGAAAACATGGCAGAAAGATGTGTTGTCTGCATTCCTATGTTTGCTGTTCTTTGATGGGAAGCAGCAGGTCAGGCCTTTGTCTCAAAATAGCAAGTCCTGGGGCTAATTTAATAAAATAGGGTGATCTTCGATCTCCATCATCTATTGTTTCAGGCTATCTGTTGATGTAGGAAAATACTAGTGAAATTTTCATTTGTAGCCATGAGGGAAAGTTTAAAGGAAAGCTTGATACAATCATATGCTTTGACTGGATTGGAGCCCTAGGCCCAGAATTATATCATGCTCCCAAGCACAAACAAAATTAAAGGAAAATATTTTAGTACTTTTCCTCTATGACAATATTTCTCTCGTGCACATCGAATGCTGTTAAAGAAATTTTAGCCTCTGTATTACAGGCAAAAGAACAAGCATCTTTCTTATATTAAAGAATGTAAAATATATTTATGCAGACGTCTTCTGCTATATTCTCAATACATTTTGTTGTCAGAGTTCTCTCATGTTTTTTAAACCTTTTAAATGCATTCTCAGGCATGACAATGTGTCATTATGCTTTCTGAGGATGTGTGCTCTTACACAGTCTGCAGGATAACCACTAAAAAGCATTTCAATTTACAACAGCAGGCATTCTTGAAAGCAGATTAATAAAGGACAAAAGCCTCAGTGATGACAAATGTATGAAAGTTAGCCAGGACCTGAGTGCTATGCAGATGCCACTCATTTTTTAGAAATCTCATTAAATTTTATGCTTGGATGTAATCATTCGTGGTGTCAGCCGGATGGATAATGCAGAGAAGGTTTTCTCCCAAGGGCTATGTTATTGTTCAGGATCTCTAAAACAATTTTTAGTTGAGAATAGCCAATTGAGGAAAAAAAGCACGGTCTGCTCAAATGCTTCTCTGGAAACTACACAGAAAATGACTGGTCATAAATGTACTACAGTGCAGTCGACCTTCATAGAGAAGACATTTGGGGCTGTGATAGGCTCTTATGTGGCTCTAGGAGCACTGGAAATCCGGAGTCAAGGATATTTGTTGGTTATATTCTTTCAGAGCAATTCCATAGATTGATACTTCATTTCAGGACAAGCGTGACTGCATTTTGGCAAACTTATTTTATGTGTCTTTTTATTGTTGGAATGATCATCCTGAGAGGTTCTTTAGATTACTTGCCATGGTACAATGTTAATGTGAGAGTTCTTGAAAGACTATTACCAATAATAGCTGTAGTCATTTAGTGAGGCAGTGCCCTTTCCTGTGAATTCCAGAACGTGTACTGCTTTACTCCACTGCTGTCTGACCAGGATAATTCTTACTTTTATCAAAGAACTAGGAAGCATATATGTAGCAGTTCACAAATGCAGATTTCTTGACCTGAAGATTTTGCTTTCTGAATGACAAGGTGTACTGGCTTGTCATCAAGAAGATGAGAGGGCAAGAAAAAGAGGAAAAGAAAGAGGCAGTAACTACAGTATAATGGAAAAGGTGTTTGATAAAACAGGAGCTTGACTGTTGTAGCATAAATGTGTTTTGCTGTGTCCGTCTGTGGCAGATAGTGTGTTTGCACATGATGGGGAGCAAGAGGTTGGAGAGAAAGTTCGAGGTATAGTAAATGCAATAGGCACTATGGCTTTAGTTGATACATCTGTATCCTCAGCCCCTCAATATGTGGAGTACCCTAGTGGCTTCTCTAAGGTATATAAGAGCCCTGGGCAGATGGAGAAGTTATGACCCAACCATCAGCAAGATAGACAGGGAGGTTAGACTAAGGGATGGAAGGTAAGAAAGAATAGACATTGATGTTTCAGGCCATGTATAGCCTTGACTAATTCCAGGGATGAGAGTCAGGAGAAATTCATGACATCCTGCCTGAGAAGGCCTTTGTGGCACATGTGCCATGTTATGCTCATTGCCCTGATGACTTCTCTGTCTTGTACAAACCTAAAAATAGTGGCTTTGGGAAAGGCAACCATAAGAGCTGCTGTGTGTTATGAGTTCAGATGCCAGACTACAGTCCAGAAGCTCTGAGCTGGATCTTTGTGTAGTGGCAGTTGTAACTTTACACAAAATATATGGGCAATGCAGGGAATATGAAGCGAAATCTCACCTTAGGAGGAAAAGCACCAGTAGCCTATGAATTGCACTGTGAATTACATAACTAGCAGCTCCCAAGCAGAGTAAGAGACAGCCTTAGACATGCCTCTTTCATTGGCATCTCCTGATGACTACCTCTAGCACTGCAGGGTATCACTTGCCAGCTGTCCCAGCTCTGGTCCATGCTTCCTCCTTCACTCTGCAAACACGGTGCAGGCACCAGCACTCCAGAAATGCATGGGTCTCTTTCAGGCACTGAGTTTGTGAACATCACCACATCTGATTTATATTTTTGTACTTGTTTCTAGGCATTTATTTTTACTAAAATTATAGATATGAGTTAAGTTGATGTTTGTAAAAAAGTTAGGCAAAATAAAGGATGCTTTTTAAAGTCTTTAAAAAAAATTGCTTTTTAAAGATATGAATCTCTTTCCTTTGCACATTATTGAAGATATTATAACAAAGGCCCTGTTACAAGATCAGATTGCTGGAAATGTTTTGGTCTGGAGTGTATAGGTTAAAGGGCTGATTCTCCATCTACAGTAATATAGTGTCCTGCAATATTGTAAATGTTTCAGATACACAGATATGCTGAAAAGGGCCAAAGCATAGATTTGAACTCTAGCAATGATCGTATGTTATTATGTTTTCAGCCAGTCCCTATTGTAATTTCAACCCTGAGCAATTATGACTTTCCCAGTCAATGC